GTGTGTGTGTGTGTGCGTGTGTGTGCGTGTGTGTGCGTGTGTGCGTGTGTGCGTGTGTGTATGTGTGTGTGAATGTGAATGTGAATGTGTGAATGTGTGAATGTGTGAATGTGTGAATGTGTGAATGTGTGAATGTGTACGTGTGTGTGTGTGTTTGTGTGTGTGTTTGTGTGTGTGTGTGTTTGTGTGTGTTTGTGTGTGTGTGTTTGTGTTTGTGTGTGTGCCAGGGATGGTAGCCCTGCGCACAGCCCCGAAGTGCACGTTGCATCTTTACCCGGGAACACAGGGGGCCCGCATCTGGTTGGTTGCGCATGTTCCGAATTAGGAGGCAGAGTGCGTTTTGTATTGTTTTTTAAAAGGGATGGTGGAAGGGGGGAGCATGGTTCCTGGTTGGCCGCCGGTCGCCTTGGGGAGGAGGTGTATATTCATAGGGAACAGTGGTAAAGCCCCTGCCCGAAAGGGAAGAAGGGCGTTGGAAGAGGAGCCTCCCTAGATCACCTACGCCCAGAGGGCTTGTGGGATTTGATTATTTCAAGTTCGGGCGTTGTTGTTGCAACGTTTTTTCCTTCAGCCGGAGGTCCTGAACTGAAGAGGGCCCGGGGAACCAAACGGGTCCCAAGGTCGCCCGAGTCACGACAAGAAGGGGAGGGGGGGCGCTCCCGGGGGCCTCCCTCCTGGACCTCCTTGCGACCCTCGCGGGGCCCACCTCCCCCGGGACGCCCCCCCCCATCCCGTGGGACCGTCCCCTCCGACGGAGAAGGGATCCAAGGGGAGGGGGGTTCCGTTCGACTCGCTTTCGACTTGGGTAGATGCCCAGGACCATCCCTGGACTCCCCCTTACACGTCGACAGGGTCGATGGTTTTTTTCCACAGTCATCCTACTCTTCCACCCGTCATCTTGCTGCGTGATTATACCACCATTATCTTTCTCCTCCCCCCTCATCCTGCTCCTTAGCCCGCTGCCTCCTCCTGCTCCTTAGCCCTGCTCCTGCTCCTCCTCCTGCTCCTCCTCCTCCTCCTCTTCCTCCTCCCCCTCTACCATCCGTCCTCCCTCTCCTCCTCCTCCTCCTCCTCCTCCTCCTCCTCCTCCTCCTCCCTCCTCCTCCTCCTCCTCCTCCTCCTCCTCCTCCTCCTCCTCCTCCTCCTCCTCCTCCTCCTCCTCCTCCTCCCCTTTTTCTTCATCCTCATTATCATCCACCGCCCTCGTCCATCATATTCCTTCTGATCTTCGTTCCTTCATCTTCTTTCTTTCCTTCCCTGGCGACAACTGCCAACACGATCGCTTGTTTTTGTGGTTTGCCGATCCAGGCGGCCTTGGCTGTTGGAAGGGTAATTCTTCACGCTTCGCGTATCCCCACCAGCCCATCTCAAAACAGCAACTCTAGCGAAGCATGCCGACAGTCATGTTTTTCAGGCGTGTTTCCGCCTGCCCCCGCATATCTCCCCTGTTCCTCCTTCCTCCCGCCTCCTTGTACATCCTCCTTGTGGTGGGAGCGGGAGAAGGACGAGGCGGAGGAGGAGGGAGAGAAAGCGCTCCTCGTGGTTTGAGTCGTTCGGGCTTCTCGTCCTGGTGTGAGTCGTTCGGGCCCTTCTTCCTGGTGTGAGTCGGCCGGGCTCTTCGTGGTGTGAGTCGTTCGGGCTCTTCGTCCTGGTGTGAGTCGTTCGGGCTTCTCGTGGTGTGAGTTGTTCGGGCCCCACGTCCTGGTGTGAGTCGTTCGCGCCCCTCCTCCTGCCCGTCCAGAAACGACGCCCAGGCGAGTAGAGGGTCGTCCTGATGGGCTTTTCGGCGTCTTGGGTGCCTCGGGGGGGCCTCTTTGGGCCGTTGGGATCCTCTTGGGGGCCTCCTGGGGGCCTCTTGGGGCCATCTTGGGGCCTCTTGGTGCCTCCTGGGCGCTTCTTGGGGCCATCTTGGAGGAAATCGATCAAAGAAGAGGGGAGCTTTAATTAGCGCTGCCCCCTCAGAAGGCCAAAATGGGGCCAAAACCTTAGAAAGAGCGTGTTCTACCGCTGCTGGCGGAAAACCGGGGGGGGTCACTACCGGTTCGAACCCCTCCCCCCCCCCCCCCCCCCTCCGGATTACGGGGGGGGTTCACTACCGGTTCGAACCCTCCCCCCCCCCCCCCCCCCTTGCTCTTCATTGATAAGGGGGGGGGTCACTTTCCGGTTCGAAAACCCCTCCCACCCCCCCCCCCCTCCGGATCCGGAAAACCGGGGGGGGTCACTGCCGGTTCGAACCCCCCCCCCTCGAAAACCGAGTGGGGGTGCGGACAGTGGTGGGGACGGTGTTGGTGGGGACAGTGGTGAGGGGACAGCGGGACAGTGGTGGGGACAGTGGGGGGACAGTGGTGGGGACAGTGGTGAGGGGATAGCGGGACAGTGGTGGGGACAGTGGGACAGTGGGACAGTGGTGGGGACGGTAGTGGTGGGGACAGTGGTGGGGACAATGGTGGGAACAGGGGGGGACAGTGGACAGTGGTGGTGACGGTGGTGGGGGACAGTGGTGTGGGGACAATGGGAATGAGGTGGAAACAGTGGGACAGTGGAGGGTACAATGGTGGTGGGGACAGTGGTGAAGGCGGTGGCGAGGACGGCGGTGGGACAATGGGACAGAGGTACAGTGGGGACAGTGGTGGGGACAGTGGGGACAGTGGTGGGAACAGTGGGACAGCTCAGTGGGACAGCGGAGGAGTCAGTGGGACAGTGGGGACAGTGGGGATAGTCGGGCAGTGGTTGGGGCCGTGGAGACAGTGGGGAGAGTGGAACCGTGGTGGGAACAGTTCTGGGGACAGCGGGGACAGTGCGACAGTGGTGGGGCCACTGGTGGGGACAGTAGGGGCGGTGGTGGAACCAGTGGGGACAGCGGTGGTGAGGACAGTGGTGCTGGGAACACCAGTGGGGGATGTGATGCGGACGGTGGTGGGGACCGGGAGTCGTTTGCTGGCGGTGAGTAGGTGAGTAGGGGGGGGGGGGGGGGGGGGGGGGGGGGGGGGGGGGCGGGGGGTTCGAAACTAGGTTGTGGTAGTACCCCCCCGGTTTTACGGATTCGGCTGGGGGGGGGGGGGGGGGGGGGGGGGGGTTCGAACCGGTTAGTGACCCCCCTCGGTTTTCGTCGGAGGAGGGGGGGGGGGGGGGGGGGGAGGGGGTTAGGGGAGCGGGGGGTTTTTTGCCGGGAGGGAGGGGGGGGAGGGGGGGAGGGGTTCCAGCAGGGGGGGGGGGATTTTCGGAGGGGGGGGGCCCCGGGTTCCGGAGGAAAAGGTTGGCAATTCTCCACAGTAAAGCGGCGGTGGATCACTCTCTCTTCAAACCTTATAAATAAAAATCAATGGTTTTGGCTTGAATAGAATCGTGGGGTGCTTTATAATTGGTGCTTGGCCACCTTGGATGGCCGAAAATGGGGACAAACCGTAGATCATAGTTTATAGGTAAAATCAATGATTTTGGCTTCAAAGAAGAGGGGAGCACTTTTCTCCCTCCCCCCGTCGGGGCCAGAATCCTCGTGAGGGGTGTCGAATTTTAGCCCTCCCAGGAGTCGAAAAAGACCCCTCTGACCACCCGCGAAAGGACCTCTCCAGGCCCAGGGGGAGGGGGTAGGGGGAGGGGTAAACCCCTCCCCGAAGGGGAAGAAGGGGGGTTGAGAACAGAGAGAGCTCCCTAAACCACTCACGCCCAAAGGGCTTATGGGACTAGTTCATGCTCGAGCGTTTCTCAGCATCCCGTGTCTTTGCAACAATTCCTCCAGTTTCTTTGCAATTGGGCCGCCATTGGGGCATTTGGCTGTGATCTGGCGTCCGTTCAGGTTCCGCCCTCTCCCTCTGTCTCTCTTGTTCTCTCTTTTGTTTTGTCTCTCTGTGTCTCTCCCCTCTGTTGGCATGAACAGAATATCGAAATATGTCCTATCAATGAAGTTGCCCATGTCCCTGCAGTTTGTCGCTCTCGCTTATTTTGCCCCCCTCTCTCTCTCTCTCTATTTCTCTCTCTCTCTCTCTCTCTCCTTCTCTTTTCCATCCTGGGCTGCCGTTGTACGGTTTTGAATTATATTAGTGACCGATTGGGCCGCAGAGGCTTTTCGCACAGTGCCCTCGCCCCTTCTTCGTTCCTCCTCCATCGGCGCGATGGCGTCCTATGAAGTGGGTTTTTACAGCGGACTTCGGGAGTGTGCTCGTGGAGCGTTTGCGGATGTTATTTTCCTCATCCAATGGTCCAGTGCCTTCTTCGATCCCCTCAAAGTTGACCCATGGACTGAGATTTGACCAGAAGTCCGATGGCAATCCAGCTGTAGCGACGAGACGCCACCCAGATGACCAGACATGTAGACACAATCATTCAATTTCGAGCGATCCCCACCTGAGAATGCGAGGCGGGATCCGCCAGGCCGCGGTATGCAGTCGTCATTCGTCGGAGGCACCAGGCGGGATCCCCAGGGAGCACCAGCACAGTTTGGGCACGGCGGCCGCGGGCAGGAGGAGGAGGAGGAGGAGGAGGAGGCGGAGGAGGAGGAGGAGGAGGCGGAGGAGGAGGAGGAGGAGGAGGCGCGCGGGATCCCCAGGGAGCACCAGCACAGTTTGGGCGCGGCGGCCGCGGTATGCAGTGTGCTGGAGGTGGGTCGAGAGCCATGTAATCCCAGCCTGCTGGCGGGGGGCATCGCAGCGAGCTTGGAATTTCGGTGCTCGAGTCTTTACTATTGATACTCTTGCTCTTCTCCTCCCCTCTTTCCATCCCCGTTGTTTGGAGTGATACTGCTGGTAAACTCAATTCATCAGCCAGCGAACTCCCATTTAATCGTTACTGATCCATCCCGTCTAATATTAATCCGGCTGGCTGAGTCGGGCTCAATCCCGGACCTCATTCGGCCTAAAGTTGTTTGATGGCTCCTTCAATGGGATCAATCGCCCTTAACCGTTCTTAAGAAGATGTCCCAGCAGTTGTTTCTTAATTTCCTTCCATCCTCGGTGTCTTCCTCCAGATCCTCCTCCGCGGCGTCCCGGCGCGACGTACGGAAGGTGGCGGGCGAGGGCGAGGAGGACACCGACGTCGCGGAGAACAGCGGCGCGGAGGGCTCGAAGCAGCCCAAGGCGGCAACGACGACGACGACGACGACGACGGCGGCGGCGGCGGCGGTGGCGGCGGCGACGACGACGACGACTACGACGACGGCGACGACGACGACGACAACGGCGACGACGACGACGACGATGGGTGGCGGAGCTGGAGGGAGGGGAGACGTAGAGAGAGAGAGAGAGAGAGAGGAGGCAGGAGGGGGAGAGGGGAAGGGGGAAAGTGAAGCAGAACGAGGGAGAGGGGAGGAGGAGGAGCAGCAGGAAGGAGGGTGAGGTTACAGGGGTGCGCGATGTTGTGGACCTGTGGTATTGCCATCTGGGCACATCCCGAAAGTACTTTTCGGCGGTCCAGGGCGCCATGGGAACTTGACTGCCGTGGACTATGGCGGGAGGGGGCGGGGTGCATGAGGCGAAGCGAGAGGGGGAGACGAGAAAAGGCATAGAGAGAATAGAGGAATTGGGGTTGGATGTATATGTCAGGAATTGACCTAAACGGTGGTTTGCTGGACTTCGGCCGTGTTATGTTTTTTGTTTTTGGGGTACAGGAACACAGGTAGAGCAAAACGAAAGGCAACACGAAACCAAAACGAAAAACAACGTTTAGGTCCAGCCCTGGTATATGTTGCTGTCGAACATGTTCTGCCATCTTTACGACTCTCCCGACATTGCTGTGAGAAAGTGGAGGCACGCCTGCAGACTGATCAGGTTTGGTTCGCTCTTCTCGTTTGGTCAGGCCGTGAACCTCCCTCAGAGTAGCATCCATTATTGTCGCCACACTTTTGGCAAGCGAAGTCCCTCTCCTCAACTGGTCGTTTGCACGCGTATGCTGGGGCGTCTGCAGGCATGGTCGTGTTGCCACGACAAGCTCTTTCTGTGAGCTATGATGAGTACAGTCCGTTTCAGTTCAGCTCAGCGCAGGTTGTCGTGCCGCCACGGCACCCGCCATGGAAACATGTCCTGCGCGTTGTGCCGGCTGCACTTGGTGACCAGGAAAAGGGGGGCAGAAATATCACTTACCTACTCGCCCAGGTTTCGACACGGAAGAAGTCATAACAGTGTTGGGGTGTCCAGTTCCTATCGAGACGCGTTCAGTGTTCTTTGTGGCAGCCAGTTGCCTGAATGTAGGAACTAACCTATTCATGCCTTGGGACGCGCTGGAGTCATCTCTTCGGCTTGCTGAATACGTCCCTGAGCCTCTCTGGGCCTGTCATTTGGGGTTAAGGACTTGAACCATCCACGCCTCCTCCGTATCTTCCAGTGATATCTTAACTATTCAATCGATTGGCGCAGTTCTGGTCCTTGTTCTGATGCCAGTAGATCGTCCACATAGCAGCAGAGCACGAGCGGACCAGCCGCTGTATTCTTCGCAAACAAGCTGCTAGCGACACCATGAACGGGTTGCCAACTATGGTGTTGCAGCACGTTCTGAGCAGATCCGATCCAGTCGAACCCAGACCGCCGCAGGCCATACGTAGCTCGAACATGACGCAACACTGGGTGCCTAAATCAGGGTGTGCCGTCGCTGTAGAACCATTGCTTTGGCCACAGCCGGCGCGGCAACTCTACCAAGGCCGGTCTTCTTTGGAGGCGTGCCTGCAAGTGCTCTGCTGTGATGCCTGCTTGCGCAAGGTCGCACCCTGGTGACATCGTAGTTCTCCACACCACAACCCGGACTCCTTCCAGGGAGGCGGGGGCGCCATTCAGATCTGCCTTGATGATCATCTTTGCTCCGCGTGCAGCGCGTGCCCTGGATGGAGTTTTTTACTCCGGGGGCGGCGGGCCTTCGTTGTGTTATCCCCGCAGGCCAAGCAGGTGACCTCCAAGGTTGTCGTGTATTTCCCACACGTCGTGCAACTTTTGGCTCCCGGGAGCACCGGCGCCTCCTGTTCGGGCGCTTCCTGCTCGCACGGCAAGAGATCTCGCCACTCCACGTAAGGCTGCGCCGCGGCCTTGCTGATGTCCCAAATTGGGAAGCGCGGAGGAGAGGAGGGAAGCTTGGCGTCACGCGTGGCGCGAAACGCAATTACACCTCGGTGGACAAACGGCTCCAGCCCCCAAGATCTTGTAGGAGTTGTACTCGCCATAGCGCCCTTCGGCTCGGACTTCACCAAGGTCGTAGTGCCATGAGAGTGCGGCTCCTTGACCATGAACACCAGGCAGCCAAAAGGGTGCAGCTCTAGGGTGCTCTCGCATGTGTTCCTCAAGGTGTGCGGCGCAGTTTTCTCTCCGTGTCCAATTTGGTTGCAATGCTCGGCCCGAAACATTGTTGCCAAAGAAAACCAGCGCTGCGCGAATCAAGATTCGGTGAAGAGATACGCGGGTCCCCTCCTCGAGGGTGTGGTGCCAGCGTCCTTTCCAGCTGAAAGTCTGCGGCCTCCTTGCGATGCCCCGCTTGATGTCGGTGATGCTTCGGCGGTAGAACGCCTCGAAGTGGCCGGCAAACTCTCCGCCCCCGTCTGGGCGCACGACCTTGAATGCGTCAATGACGGCATCGGGGGTCTTACTGCGCATGGGCGCACACAGTCGAAAGTCTGAAAATTCACCACGGCCGCATAGCAAGTATTTGTTCCCCAATATGTCAGCTTGGGCCACGGGCCCCAAAATATCAGGATAATATCGAAGACCATACACGCGCACGCGAGCAACATGGTTCTGCCTCCGGACAGGCGCGTGCGTGATCTGGACGTAAGTATTAAGAGGATGTCGCAATCTGGATGGGCCGGCAGATACATGAGGCTGTGGCGGAAGGAGTCTAGAGGGTCAGGGCCGACCCATTTTCGCCGGCCTCCTTGTGGCTATCCTCCGTTCCCTTGGTGATATCATTTTTTTTTATCTCCTCTGCGGTTTCCTCCTTCTTCTGCTCTGCGGTCTTTATATGTTCCTCCTCGTCGGTGGTCTTCTCCTCCTTCCCCTTCCCCTGCGTCGCTACGGCGTTCTTCGAGTCCAGGCCAGCGCCGTGCGTGCTCGGGAAGACGAGGCCGAGCGTGGACGCGTGGGCGCGGTGCCCACTCGCACGGAGAGGTTTCGCGTCTCCTGGGAACCCCAGTTGTCGTACTCGCAGGCGTCGCGGTTGACAGGTCGAAGTCGAAGTGGATGGAGATGCGATTGTGTTTCCAGAGATCCCGCAGCGCCTTGAAGCACCAAGTTAGTTGCGAACGCGTGCTCTGCCATCTCGGCGGCCCCGCTCATCCTGAGATCGATGTTGGCCTCTGGGATAATGTCCCCCAAGACGCTCGCGAGCGGCAAACCGATGTCTTTCAGGCCAAGCGCGCTTGCCGTGAGTTCGGCTGCGACAGTTGCCGTGGCGACGCCCTGGTGGCGTTTAGCTTTCCAGGCAGTCAGAGCTCGAGCGCTAGATTCTCCGACGATCTCGGCGTCGGCTCCCGACGCCGAGCGGGCGGTAGCATGTCTCCTCCGTGATGGGCTCGGTGTGAAGGAGGACAGTCAGGTTCACGTCCCGCGATTCTCCGACGCACTCCAACAGCGCTTCCGGGTAGGAGTCGGTGTGCCCGAGGACCCGCGCAAGGGCTTTCTCACATGGGTCGACTTCTTGGTGGCGTATCTTCCGAGGGCTGCCGCGGGCGCAGCCCTCTCGAACCGAACGCACCGCATCGGGTACAGCAGGCCCCCGAAGGTGCGGAATTCGCGAACTGCTCGGGAACGTCAGACTCTCTGCAAACCCCGAGCTCGTGGAGTTCGTCCTCAGCAGCTGAAGTGCGGACCTTGCCAGGTTTCTGCTGCTTTGCTTCGGTTTTGAACTTGTCGACGACGCACCTGGTGCACTCGTTCTGGCCTATTCACGGCTTCCTCTTGGTCCCTTCGGGAGGATGCAGTTTCAATGCCATTCCCAAGGAACGACTTGCAGGGTCGGGCTCGTCCATGTCGAAGTGCGCCCTGGGCGGCTCCTGCTCCAGGATGACGCCCGGCAGTTGGCAGGTCTCCGCTGCTGAGTTTCTCAACCTTTGGGGAGGTGCTGGCGGCGAGGTTGTTGTTCCGCCCTTGGAGGCGACGGCCAGCATGGGGCAGTCAGCCTCGACCGTGACGGTGAGTTGGCGGCCATCGACGCCGACCAGCATGTGCGTCTCGAATTCGTCCCACTTCCAGGTGAACGATAGCTTGTAGTCCTGGATGAGCTTGCTGGTGCTGGTGTTGATGATGTCAACGGTGGTTCTTACGACGGTGATGATGATGCTGATGATGAGGGGGAGGATGAGGATTGTGAAGATCCGAGGATGCTGATGCTGCTCATGATGATGCGGATGATGATGCTGATGATGATGATGATGGTCGTGATGCTGCTGATAATAATAATAATAATGATGATGATGACGATGATGATAATGAGGATGATGATTGTGATGATGGTGTTGAGGGTGACTATGATGCTGATGATGATGATGATGATGATGATGATGATGACGGTGATGATTGGTGGTGATGATGATGATGATGATGATGATGATCACAATGGGGGGAGGAGGAAGAAGAGGAGGAATCTAGAGCCCTTCTTTCGGAATCACGCGCACGCAGTGCAAAATTGGGGCGCGCCCCAAGTTTACAGTGCGCCCTACCGCCACATGATCATCGCACCATCACTTCCAGACGAGGCGCGCGACTCACCGGATCCGCCGGACTCCCTGGACTCGCCGGAACCACCAGCTGCAGACGAGACGCTGGACCCACCGGACTCACCAGACTCGCCGGATTCAGTGGATCGGGAGTCAGAGTCACAGGACCCGCCGGACTCACCTGACTCGCCGGACTCACCGGAAGCGCTGGTCTGGAGCACCAGGCCGGGCCCGCCGGACTGGAGTGGAGCAGCAGGGCGCACCATCCTCGCTTTCTTCCCTTCGCATCTCGAGGCTGTCTCAAGGCAGCCAGGGAGCAGCGCCCCCAGAACAACACAGGACTGCCAGACAACGCGGGGCATTGCTGATCTCTTCGAGCATGTCGAGAGCCTTTTTGGGAGGTCCTACCTTCTCTTGCCCGCGGCGCTTGCGCAAACCACTCTCTGGCGCCAGGTGGGGCGTTTGCGGACGCATGCCAAGGCGGAGGTCGGCGCCGACCTCATGGACTGCGCTGGGGAGGAGGCGGAGCAGCGGAGGGAGGGGCACTGGCAGCAGAGGCGGAGACAAGAAGACGACCGAGAGGAAGGGGAAGACGACGACTAGGAGGAGCAGGAGGGGGAGAGGCAGGATGGGGGGACGGCGAGGAGGAGCAGTAGCAGCAGGAGGAGAAGCAGCAGGAGGAGGAGCAAGAGAAGGAATGTGAGGAGGCATGAGGAGGAGGAGGAGGAGGATGAAGGGGTTGAAGCGAGAGGAGTGGGAGGAGGAGGAGGAGGAGGAGGAGGAGGAAGAGGAAGACCAGTGGAAACCCAAGACTCATCAGCGATGTTGAAATGCACCTTCCCTCGAAGATCCCACTTCACGGGCTCCTACCAGGGGTCATTTCCACAGGGAATTGCCCCGTTGGGGGACAACCGTGTGAACATTTTGAAGCGTGCCCAAACACAATGTTCAGGACTTCGACGCCGTAAGTTAGCCTGATTGTTACGTCTTGGCGATCCTGAACCGTGCCAGATCACCAGTCCTGGGACTTCAACGCCGCGAACCAACCTAACTATTTCGATGCCCTTTGATCTTGTTGGCAGTGAGCCCGTCTTCGCCCAGCCCTCCGAAGTCGCCGAGCGCCTGCAACGCGCCTCTTGGGGCGCTCTTGGAAGCCTTGGGGACGCTCCTGGGGCCGTCTTGGAAAGGTCGCAATCGGCCTTGTCCCTCGAGAGTGCCTAGAATCGCCTCTTGGACTCCTCTTGGAGTGGAGCGCTCTCAGGACGATTTTGAGCGCTCTTGGGGCCGGTTTGGGCTCTCTTGGGCCTCGGAGGGCGATCGAAAGCGAACGGGCGACGATGCAAACATCATTAATTATTTTGTTGGTGCTTGAAGGATTTGGGCTTCTTGGGGGCCTCTTTCGGAGTCTCGGGGGCCTCTTGTGGTGCGGTCTCGGGGCCTCATGGAGCATCTTGGGAGCCATCTTGAGGCATCTAAGGCTATCTTGGGCTCTCTGAGGCCCTCTTGGAGCCGTCTTGGGCCATCTTGGACGCTCTCACCCCTCGCGGCCCCACCCGTCCAGGTCCAGGGTATGGGGGTAGGGGGAGGGGTAAACCCCTCCCCGAAGGAGAAGAAGGGGTTTGGAAGAGGAAGCTCCCTAGACTAGCAGCTTCGCCCTGAGGGCTGGTCGGATTTAGCAGCACCTCCCTGATTGCCTTTTTCCGATATCGTCGCTATTATTATGTTTTCCATTACCTTTCTTTCGTTATTCCTCTTCCTTTCCTCTTCCTCATTCTCGCCATACCATGCGAATTTGTCTCCATCATCCTCAGTTTTTTTTGCGGAGGCTCCTCGTTGGAGAGCCTCCTGGGGGCCTCACGAAAGTGTTTAAGGGCTACTTGGGGCCTTCTGAAGGCCTTCTGTGCTCCTTCTGGGGGCCTCTGCGGGCTTCCTCGGGCCACCCTGCTTCCAACCGCGGCCTCCCTAAGCGACCGGGTCACGATTTGGAATGCGTTGTGGGGCGTCTTGGGACAATCTTGGGCCGTCATGAGGCTGTTTTCGGGCCATCTTGGCGCCCTCTTGGGCCGTCTTGGGACTCCTCTTGGATAGGAGCATGTTTTTTATCCCGGGCGATGACGGCCGTCACCTGGGGGAGGGGGGTGGAAGGGGACTGGTAACGTTGCGTTTCGCGCCGGCGGCGTCTGGGAATGCCTAGGAATGACCAGGGACGGGTCGGAGCAGCACGTAGGTTGCGATTTGCGCCACAGCGCCTGTGTAAACCACAGTGCCTGCGTGCACCACAGCGCCTGTGTGCACCACAGCGCCGATGTACACCACAGCAGCCGCGTGCAACACAGCGCCAGAGTGCACCACAGTGCCTGCGTGCACTACAGCGCTTGTGTACACCGCAGTGCCTACGTACATCACAGCAGCCAGCGCAACGCAGCACGATTGTACACCGCAGTGTCTGCGTGCACCACAGCGCCTGTGTACGCCACTGCGCCTGTGTGCACCACAGCAGCCGTGCGCAACAGAACACCACTGTTGCATACAGAGTTTGAGAAAGAATCATTCTGACAAAATGGAGCGCCTGTGGATTCCACAGGAAGCACATATTTTATGCAAGATTTGGAAGGGACTCCTTACGGAAATAGCAGCGCCCCTGGAATCTACGAGTCTTCCCGAGTAGGAGAAAGAGGAGGCGGAGGAGGAGGAGGAGGAGGAGGAGCAGAAGCCGGGCCGTGTCTTCGACACCGGGGCGCGCACAGAGACAGGGGTGGCGTCCTCCTGAGGGAGTTCGCTTGAGGCGTGCGGCACAGTGGCATGGCACCGTGGCGTTTCATGGCCCGAAAACTTACATATTTCTCGCCCATTCCCATTTTGCGTTGAACGCTGCTGACATGTGCACATGCGCTGTAGCGCCGACCGGCACGACGGGGAGAAGGGTGAGGGAGGAGGAGGATGAGAGGGAGTGAGAGGGAGGAACAGGAACAGGACGAGGAGGAGGAGGAGGAGGAGGGAGAGGGAGGAGGGATGAAAATTGTATTATATCATCAACGCTACCCTCGCGTGGTGTTCAGGCTGTTCACAGCGGATCCTCACCGACATGCTCCGTCTACTTGTCCTGTGCACGCAGGCGCTGTGGTGTGCACGAGCGCTGTGCTGCACGCGGATGATGTGGTGTACACAGGCTCTGTGGTGTAGAGGCGTTGCGGTGCACGCAGGCACTGTGGTGTACACTGGAGCTTTGTTGCAGACGGCTGCTGCGGTGTACATATTTGCTGTGGTGTACACAGGCGCTGTGGCGCACGCAAGCACTGTGGTGTACACAGGCGCTGCGTTGTCCGTAGCCATTTTGGTTCAAGCAGGGCTCGAACCAGGATGTTGCTGCGCACTTCGCCGATTCCCCGCATGGTTTCCTTGTTCCTTCGTTGGGCATTGGTGGCTCGGCGCGCTCATTATTGCATCGTGCATTTGTTTGATATTGAGTTTCTTTCCACGGCGGCCGCCACTTTCGCCCTGGAAGGTATCTGTTGTTCAAGACTTCTGGTTTTTGGCGTCGTATCATTAGTGCCGCAAGCAATGTGTAGCATGTTCATTTTCTGGCGTTCTTCCCTGCTTTGTGGTCTCGGCGACGGTCTTCGAGGCGCACTTCGACTAAATTATATGTCGACGGAGAGCTTGTGTTGATGACGTAATTCGCATTATGACTGCTGATGTGATTCCGCTTCTTGTCCGTGGCTCTGCACACTGCAAGTCTCAATCCGCATGTTGCTGAATTTGTGCCACGGAGCGCAGGGAATGCTGTGGTTAATTCTTACAATTCTATGGTCGATGTCCCTACGATTGTTGTTGGCTCCGAAGTGGAAGCTCCGCGATACCGCTCCCGTTCGGCCACGGTTCAGGCGAGCTGTCCCGGTGTGTTGCCATTCCCCGCGCCGCTCATTAAGATGACCAGGGGTGGTGACCAGCAAGCATTGATTGCGGCACAGAGTCACACACTTTCAATGTTGACGAAGGAATTGTAAACATTTCGCCTTCGCACGGTTTGTCTTCCGCAGCTTACGTCCGTGGCTTTGAAGGAACACGTTGGCTCCCAGGTCCGGTCTCTTTCTGCCGAAGTTTCGAGAGTTCGTATGGTGGGGCGAAATGTGGAAGAATTCGCCGCCTCTGTGGCATCGCGGGTTGAAGATTGCTTTGAATCGCGTATGTTGGGAAGACTCAACACTCTCAAGGGTGCCGAACAGGCGCTGGCCGACCAGGTTGAGGCGCTCAAGGCAGACCGCCAGGCCATCCTTGCTCGCATAGCGAGCAACGCGGAGGAGATCATCGCCTCCACCACGGCTGCGGCTGAGAAGGCCGTTCATGCCGTCTACGGCTTGCTCCGCGAGGAAATCGAAGCTTTTCGGCGAGATGTCGCAGTGACTGGCCCTGTTGTCTGTGCCCCGCCGCCGATTCGAATGGTGCACGAATTTCGATTGGCAGCGCCGTCATTTTCCGTTGCCTGCAATGCACAGAGTACAATGACTGTCTGGGACTGGTTCTGGCTTTCGATGGCAGCACGGGGGAAGTGAATATTGGCAAAAAGGGCGCCAGGTATGGTAAGAGCATCCTTCCGCGCAATTTATTGGTCATTGGCGACGGCCCGTTCGACCAGGAAACAGTGGAGTTCGCCAAGATTCTGGGCCCGGCTGTGCTTTCAGAGGTTATGTCATCTCCGACGGCTGCAACGTCATCGTCTACGAGTTCTGAGGCCGTTGCCGCCACGTTCCGCCCCCGCTAAGCGACAAGACTGATTGAGCACGAGCGACGCAGGCGCCACGTTGCACGCGGCTGTTGCGCGCGCTGTGGTGAACGCGAGCATTGTGGTGTGCGTGAGCGCTGTGGTGCAGATCACCATCGACATGTACCGTCTTCGATCACCCCTAGGCATTCCCAGACGCTGCCAACGCGGAGCGTGACGCCACCTTGGGTGGGCGGGGTCCGGGGCCGCTGACGGCCGCTATCGTGGAATATTCCATGTTTGAAGCATGCTCCTGCCTAGAAGCCTTTTTTGGGTAGTTGTGGGGCGATGCTCTGGCCTCCTGGGCGGCCTTTGACGCCTGGCAGACCGAAGAACAGAGCATTCCCGAAACCATGCAAAACTAGTGGACAGCAATGTTGGCTTGTGTTTCACATGCCTCTTAGTTTGGGGCGTCTGGTGGGTGTCAGGGGCCTCTTGGGGCTCTCGCGGGGCCGCGGGGGCGTCTGGCCGCCCTCCTGACCGATTCGGGCGCAGTGCCTAGTCCCAGCAGAGGCTTCCATGAGCCTTCTGAAACCCCGGGGGGATTTGGCAGGGCGTCCAGTGGGCCCCTGGGGCCACGGACCTGGGGGTCTCTTTTTTGGGGGGGATTCCCCCCGCGGATTGGAAATTATAGAGAAAGTCGGAGACATGTGTGTCACGCCCGACTTTGAAAAGTAGGTATATTTGGATTCCCGGATCCCAATCTACTGCAAGCGCCTTCCTACTTCAAGAATCGACACGCTTTTGTTGTGTTTTGTTATTCTCTGGGCTACTCAATTTGTTTTACCATTTTTTCCGACAGACGTGTAAATAAACTGTGGGAGGGCAAAGCTACGGGGGGGGAGGTCCAAAGCCCCCTCGCAGCGAGGGCCCCGTCGAAGCGGAGGCGGGAGGCCGAGAGGCGGACGGACGCCGAGCGTCGAAGCAACGCGTGTGGGCCTGGCGCAGGGCAGGTGCGGCTCCACCTCCTCATCCTGCCCCTCCTCTTCCTTCTCCTCCTCCTGCTCCTCCTCCTCCTCCTCCTCCTCCTCCTCCTCCTCCTCCTCCTCCTCCTCCTCCTCCTCCTCCTCCTCCTCCTCCTCTCCTCCTCCTCCCCCCCCTCCTCTCTCTACGCTGGGTTCTTCCTCCTCCTTTTCCTCCTCCTCTTGTCCTCCTTCCTCCTCCTCCTCTCTCCTCCTCCTCCTCCTCCCTCCTCTAACTCCCCATCCCCTTCTCCTCCTCCTCCTCCTCCTCCTCCTCCTCCTCCTCCTCCTCCTCTTCCTCCTTATCCTCCTCTTCTTTCTCCTCCTTTTTCTCCTCCTCCTCCAGTTGGGATGCAGTAGCGGCACATTGCCGACTCGCCCCGTGCTGAGCGTGAATCGACCGCGCATCGGGTGCCCAGTGGCGGAAGCCTGAATCTAGTTCTGATGGACTCGGGCTACAAGATGGTCCAGGACGGAGCGAAGTGGCGATGTGAAGTCTGCAGTCCGCGTGTACATGCCTCTGCCTTGTTGGATTTCTGTTGCACTCCGTGCACCCCGCCGCCGACCCCGCCAGCCCCACCCCCACCCGTCCTTAATTGTGCCCCCAGGGCTGCGGGAGTTGGAGGGTGGAAGGGCTTGGGCGGGAGGGTGTTGCATCTTTCGCATAAGTTTGGAGAGTGGCCGAAGTATTGCATGTTGTTCTGCCACGAGTGTGGCAAGTCTGCGACGGAATCTTTCCGTCACCTTGAGGTCCGCTGCTTGGGAAAGTCTTGCAAAGGAGCACAAGCCTAGCTAGGATCACTCCGAATTTGTATCCGCGGCGTGAGGGCCCGCCGAATTCGGTCTTCGCAGCGATGCAAGCACGTGTCCGTGCTGAAGAGGTGGCCAGAGCCAAGAAGGCGGTGGACCCTGGGACCCAGGGACCTGTTCCGTCTGCCGTGGCCGCGCCGAGAGACCAGGGAGAAATGCTCTCGGAGGCTCCTGGCGTGTCCTGTCAGCCCCTGGTGGAGTCCTCTGACCCAGAGGAAGAGGCGGTAGAGTGGCTCTCTGGAGGCGCGGATTTGGGTCGCCCTGCGGGACCGCAGCCAACTGACGGTCAGCTCTTGAGAGAGGTGAACAGATTCCGCGATCTCCAGATTTGGCGCGAGTTGCGCCTGATTATTGACGGCCCTCCCTGCGCCAAGGGTTACTGTGTTGGTTCCGACTTTCACGGTGATGTTGGGCGCGGGTGCGGGCTGTGCCGCGAGGGCGGCATCGATGCGAAGCTTCCTCCTCCTCCTCCTCCTCCTCCTCCTCCTCCTCCTCCTCCTCCTCCTCCTCCTCCTCCTCTTCCTCCTCCTCCTCCTCCTCCTCTCCGCCCACGTGCGGGAGCGCGTGCGCGGGCGCGCGCGCGAAGGGCTTTCGGACCCTGCGGCGCGATGCAGGGGCGGGGCAGCGCAGAGGCGCGGAAGGTGCAGCTCTGGTGGGGGGGGGGGGGCTCGCAGGAGCGAGCAGGGCACGAGGGAGCCGGGAGGTCCATGCTGCGGCTGCGGCTGCGGCTCGTGCTGCGGCGGCGGTTCGGGCCGAGGCTCGAGTTGCGCCCGCCGCGCCTCAGGACGCCGCGGGGGGCGCGCGCGTGTTCGTCAAGAACCTGGACAAGAGCACCGGGGAGCGGGAGCTGCGCGAGCTGTTCGGCCTCCTGGGGCTCGTCCGAAGGGTCGCCCCCGTCGGGGGCCCCCAGACGGTGTGGTGACCACACCGCGTGGTGAGTCGGTGGGGATTCGGGGTGACCGCATGGTTTTGGGGCTTGGCCCGTTCTCCGAGAATGTCTCAGGCGATGGGGGCCTCCTGGGCCTGGGCCCCAAAACTCACGCGATCGCAAACATGGATTGAGGGGGCGTGGATTAGCGACGGGTCCCGTTTCCATGGACAATCGCGGACTTCCGCCCCCGATCGAGGCGGCACCGGCCGCATTTTGGGGAAGGCACCTCCCCCGACCCATGGATATGGCGACTGCGCGCCAAATCCATGGATCATTAATCCATGTTTGCGCGCCCCCGAAAAACCGCGAGTTGAAAGCGTAGTTCAAGGTCACCGCACGGTTCGTCATTGCACCATTTCGGACCCCCCAACCCCACCCTCACCCACCCAGGGGCTCCGCTGGATACCCCGTGGCGTCGCGAAACACGAAGCCACCTTGGACGTTTCTCCGCGATGCCAGAGTCTGGGGGGGCGTTCTCGGCCTTGGGGTCGTCGAGACGCGACCCGCGACGCAAAAGTTGTCCGCGGGACGGGGTCGAGGGTGCTGGGGAACACGTCGTGAAAACACACAACGTCGGAGGTCTGGGCAGCGCCTCCAGAATGAAGCTGGACCGTTGGACCTCCACTCTTGAAGTGTGCTCCTTCTCCCCTCTGGAAGTCTTGGTCCGCTGTGTCGTCTATGTTCCTGCGTCTCCGAGCCTCTGGGTGCTCCCGCTCCTTCTGCCGCGCTGCCATCCCGCCGCTCATTGCAGGTTTCTGCCTGATGCTGCTTGCGGGCCGAGGGGCACTCAAGCCTGCTCCCTGGTTGCTCTGCAGTGCACCACGCGGTGTGCAGCTGAAGAAGAAAGATGTCAAGTGCACCATGCTCTGAGATGACCTGGCATCGCTCGGACGTGTGCATTTTTCCTTCGGCGAGGACCGTCGAGGAGCATCCTTAATCATTTGGCGAAAAAACCACGCACGAAACCGAAAAAAGCACAGGGAATGAACGTCCGAGCGATGGCCAGATGAGGTGCGCGCCTGGCCCCCAGGGAGGCTCCCTGGAGAGCCCGAAGGGCCCCCCCCCGCCTTCCCACCACCGCCCTCCTGCCTCGAGCCGGGCGCCCCCGAGCACTCCAAAAGCACCCCCCTCCCTGCACCCACTCGGCGCCTCGAGGCGGAGGCGGAGGAGGAGGAGGAGGAGGAGGAAGAGGAGGAAGAGGAGGGGCGGATGAGGAGGAGGAAGAGGAGGAGGAGGAGGAGGAGGAGGAAGATGATGAGGAGGAGGAGGAGGAGGCCTCCCCGGCCGCCAGCACGGGCGGCCCTCCACGGGCTCGGCGCCCCGGCAGGGTCGCGGAGACGACCTGCCCCGCTCGGCCGCCGACCGGGCTCGGCCCCGTGCCCGCTCGGCGGGCCGGCTGGGCTCGGGCGCCGAGTCCGCTCGGGGGCCTCAGGCGCTCCCGCGCCCTCCGCGGCGGCGGCGCCGCCGCCGAAGGGCCGACGAGGGCCGCCGATGTCCTCGGAAGGCCTCCGAATGGGCCTCCGAATGGGCCTGCGAATGGGCCGCCGAGGGCAGGGCCTCCGGGGAGGCCTTCCGAAGGGCCGCCGTCTGCCGTGTCATCTATGCCGCGGGCGTGGGCCGAGCGCGAGGCCTCGGCGCGAGCGCCCCTTTCCCAGTGGCGGGGTGTGCGTCAGCCGGGGGCCGGCGTCACCTGGGAGGGTTGGGGGGGGGGTCACCGAGGCCGCCCGGGGGTCGCCCGTCCACCCAGGCCTCCTCGCGTCGTGAAGACATCGCGACGGAAGGTGCTCGGCAGCTTTTGGCTACGGGCGGCCCCCACCCAGCCCTGGGAGCGCCAATAAACGAGTTGCAGTCTCAACCCGCACTGCAAGGGTGGGCAACCTTCCCAAGGCTACCCTTGCGTGCTTGCCTCCTCGGGCCATCCTTGGCCTCTGTCGCTGGCCGCGCCCCGCTCGCAAGGTGTCGGGACGGCCTTCCAAGGCCCCTGCATCCTCATCCCTTGGCATCGCTCGGACGTGTGCATTTTTCCTTCGGCGAGGACCATCGAGGAGCATCCTTGATCATTTGGCGAAAAAACCACGCGCGAAACCGAAAAAAACACAGGGAATGGACGTCCGAGCGATGGCGAGGCTCCGTCCGGAGCTCTGGCTCCCGGGTGCGGTGCCCGCCGCCGCCACCCCGGCCCCGTGCCGCCGCGTGCCCAGGCAAGCACGGCACCGTGACCGAGGTCAAGATCCCGCGCGAGAAGGACCGCGACGAGGGCTGGGAGCCTTCCCTCTTACAGTGAGCGGCCTGAATGAGGAACGCTTACTTTTCAAAAGGGGCTCGGTCGTTCCATTTGTCGTTCCTTACGCATGATGTATTATTTTTCGTTCCTTATGCGTCATTCCCTGGAGAAGAGGGGCTTCGTTCCTGATGTATCGTTGGGGCACTGCCGCCAGGCATCCCTCCAGGAGCCACTGGAAAATGCCCCCGCGCGCACGCCCAGGGGGGTCCCAAAGGGAGCGTGTCCTGGGCCCTGGGGCTTTCCCGGGTCCGGCTCTCCGTCCTGAGCCGTTGTTTCCACGGTCCTGGGGCCGGTCCGGGGGAAGCCCTGGGTTCTGGGAGCCCGTGCTTTCAGGAGCGTTCGGGGACATCGAGTCTGATCGACAGCTCTGCTACCCTCCGTCGGCCCCACGTGCGGGTGCAAGACCTTGGGCATCGAGCATCCCGAAGCCATGCCTGGGACCCACTACAGTCAACCACGGCAGTAAGGACTGATCACTTCAGCAAGGGTATTTTCTGACCCGTGCCAGTTTTAGCCACGGGCTCGGCATCAGCGCGCTGCAGACGTTTAACTCTGAGTATCCACTCGCATTGCGCCCTGACCACCTTGCATCTCTGCTTTCATGCGTGACTGCACAACACATGGATGAGACGAGGAACGAGGCCGTGGCATACATTGGCCCCTGGCTAGCAGCGCGGGTCCCCGCCTCGCTTTTCTGGGGTAAGCGGAGACGGGCGCTTGATGGACAGCCAGGGGCGGCGGAGGAGGAGGATGACAAGCAAGAGAAGAAGCGGAATCGGAATCGGAGCAGACGCGAAGCGTCCGAACAAACGAACGCCGTCCCCTGCCGCCTCGACCTTCGACGCACACGACGAAGCCGGCGAAGACGAGCAGCAATGCACATGAAGATGAGTCCAGCAAGGCGTACAGGACTGACAATATCTAATGGCCTTCGGCCAACCCCGCCACCGTGCCTGGGCTGTGGATTTGAGGATTATGGCGTGTTCTTTGGGATCTGGTGTTCTTCCGCTCGGCGGGCTCTTGGGTGGGTCATGTACCACTCGAGTCATGCCGTCTGTCTCTCGGGGGCCTCCTGGAGACAGGTTGGAGGCCTCTGGGAGGCCGTTGTGGGGCCTTTTCGTACCTCTTTTGCACGTCTTGGCGGCATCTTGGGGCTTCTTGGGGGCCTCCTGGCCTCCTGGAGCATATTATATGGGCCTCTTGAGGCCTCCCAGGGGCCTCTTGGGGCGGCGAGCTAACCTCAGAAGGTCTTTAGTTTTGAGTCCCCGCCCCCCCCCCCCTGTTTCTTTCGGCGGGGAACAAAATCACCCCTCCTGTCCCTCCTGCTCCTCCTCCTCCTCCTCCTCCTCCTCCTCCTCCTCCTCCTCCTCCTCCTCCTCCTCCTCCTCCTCCTCCTCCTTTTCCTCCTTTTCCTCCTCCTCCTTTTCCTCCTCCCTCCTCCTCCTCCTCCTCCTCCTCCTCTCCTCCTCCTCCTCCCTCCTCTCTCTCCTCCTCTCCAACTCCAACTCTCCTCTCCTCCTCCGCCTCCACCTCCTCCGCCTTCTCCTCTTCCTGGGCCTCCTAGTCCTCCTCCTCCTCCTCCTCCTCCTCCTCCTCCTCCTCCTCCTCCTCCTCCCCTCCTCGTCGTCGTCGTCGCGGCGGAGATTACTTTCCCTCTATTGTTGGACGGGCTGGATCATGTTCGGGGCCTCTCTCGCCCAGGGAGTAACCCACTGTGGGCGACCTACCCTGCACGCGAAACGATGTGTGAACATCTCCTCATGAGGATGGCAATGGGAATCAGTGGTTGTGGTTGGAGTCGTGATTGTGGTGGTGGTGGTTGTGATCGTGATTGGAATCGTGATTGCAGTCGTAATGGTGGTGGTCGTCGTCGTCGCGGCGGAGATGAGTGTCCCACTAGTGTTCGCCGCGCTGGACCATGCGGTAGTCGTAAGCGTATTTGTAAGCGTAGTCACATCGTAGGCATAATCGTAGTCGTCGTCGTCGTCGTCGTCGTCGTCGTCGTCGTCGTCGTCGTCGTCGTCGTCGTCGTCGTCGTCGTCGTCGTCCTCGTCGTCCTCGTCGTCCTCGTCGTCGTCATGTTGTAACTCGTGTCCATTCTTGGGGGGGTCGAAAAACCTATAGAGGTTAGGTTGTTCGGTTCGTGTTCTCATTCTTGGGCCCCTCTTGGGGCCGTCTTGGGGCCCTCTTGGGCTGTCTTGGGCGCCTCTTGGGCCGTCTTGGGACCCTCTTGGGCCGTCTTGGAGCACTGTTGGGGGCTTCTGGGGCCGTCTGGGGGCGGTCTTGGGGGCCTCTTGGGCTGGCCTGGAGCGTCGAGAAGCCGAACGCGCGAGAACGCCAAACATTTTCAAAACCGTAAGAAAATACACGATTTTGGCCATTGGGGATCTTCTGGGAGGTCTCTTCGAGGCCTCTTGGGGCGTCTTGGATGCCTCTGGCCATCTTGCGCATCTTGGGGCGATCTGTCGGCGAGTCGGGGCCCTCTTGGACTGTCTTGGTGGCCTCTTGTGCCCTCGTGGGCCGAACAAAAGTCACGCGCCACCGCGAACCGGAGCCCAGGGCAACCGCGGCGGGCCCCGACGGATTTAGGAATTTCGGCTCGGGCCCTAAGACCTAAGAGACTCCTCAGAAGTGGGGATCTTAAGCTTAGAGGATGAGGCAGAGGACCTGAGGGCACGCCCGCTCCGTGCCCGGAGGCACGGTGGCGGACATTGACAAGCCCGAAGAACAATTGCTTGCTACCTCGGACGAGTACCTCATCGCATGAACGCTACCATCCACGCAGAAAGTTAATTCACATCGCTTTGACGACAATGAACATGTTTTCTCCTTTTTCCGACCAGCCTCAAGAACGTGCTACGACCATACAAACACCCGAGACGCACCCAACCCCTTCTCCACGCGAGGCGAATATTTGCAAGAACATTCCATGCGAAAGAACACATCGGCAGATGTGCAAGATCTGCGCTGCCCAGATCTCCCCCGTGCTTCCCAGGAGCCCACGAAAGTGGCGACAATTGTACAATTCGTAGCCCCCCCAGGGAGCTGCGAGATCTCGGCTGGATCCGCGTGGCGCCCGACCTCGCTGTACCCCCCAGGAGCACACGAAGGTGGCGACAGTTGCCGTCGACAGTTGCGCGGTTCGCAGCCTCCCAGTGAGCCGCGAGAGCTCGGCTGGATCCGCGTGGCCTCCGACTCCGCGTGACCTCCCAGGAGCCCACGAAAGTGGCGACCGTTGCGCAGTTTGTAGCCACCCAGGAAGCTGCGAAGTCTCGGGTACTCCACGACTCCGCGCCTCCAAGGAGCCCACGAAAGTGGCGACAGTTGCGCAATTCGCAAGATCCCAGGGAGCTGCGAAGTCTCGGGTAGTCCGCGACTCCGAAAGTGGCGACAGTTGGGCAGTTCGCAGCCTTCCAGGGGGATGCGAGGTCTCGGGTGCTCCCTTGCTCCGCCGTGCCTCCCAGAAGCCCACGAACGTGGCGACAGTTGCACAGTTCGAAGCCACCCAGGGAGTTGCGAGGTCTCGGGTGTTCCCATGTTCCGCCGTGCCTCCCAGGAGCCCACGAAAGTAGCGACAGTTGTAGATTTCGCATCCACCCGAGGAGAAGCGCAGCAAGAGGCAGGACGAGGGGGAAGGAGAAGAGGGAGGTGTGCGACCGCAGTGCTCTATTCAAAACGCGAACCCAACTCAGGAGGTTGGGAACAACTGAAAAGAATAACCAATCCACCACGCACAATAAAGCGCATGAGCAACACCTCGAGTCGAGGTGATATAGCTCCGAACTGGTACCACACAGCTGCGCCGGCATGCAAACCAAACGCTTGAACCGACGAAGTAAATGGGCACCACCGTGGCACTACGCACGGACTCAACAGTCGAATCGCCCCGTGGGAGGCGGGGCGCGTCGTTTGCTTGCTGCTGGTACCAGTGCGGTATTCCCGCTTTGCTCTTCCTCGGCGCTGCCTCCCTTCTCCTATCTCTCTCTCTCTCGCTCTCTCTCTCTCTCTCTCGCCGCCGTCCTCAGCCGAAGCCTCAGCCTAAGCCTCAGCCTAGCCTAGCTTCAGCCTCAGTCAGAATTTAGCGTAAGCCTAGCCTAAACCTCAGCCGCAGCCTAGCCTCAGCCTCTGCCTCAGCCTATCCTAAACCAAAGCCTCAGCCTCAGCCTAGCCTGAGCCTCAATCTAAGAATTGCCTAAGCCTGGTTTCAACCCCAGCCTAAGCCTAAGCACCAGCCCCCGCCTAGCCGAAGCTCCAGCCTAAGTCAGCCAAGCCTAAGCCGCAGCCCAGCCCAGCCTAAGCCTAGCCTGAGCCAAGCCTGCGCCTCAGCATAAGCTTAAGCCTAAGCCTCAGCCTGGCCTGCATCTCAGCCTAAGCCTCGGCGTAATCCTCAGTGTAAGCCTAGCCGAAGGCTAGCCGAAGCCTCAGCCTAAGCTTCAGCTGAGCCTAAGCCTTTAAGCTTCAGCCTCAGCCTTACATAAGCCTCTGCCTAAGCCCAGCCTCAGCCCCAGCTTAAGCCTCGGCCTCAGCCAAAGCATTGCCTGAACCTCCGCCTTATTTTTTACTACTACAGCACTAGGGTATGATTGCTACCACAATACTACGACAGTACTACCACTACAATATTAGAGTACGACTACTCCTACAGCACTACTAAGATTAGGGCAGTACGACTGTATTAGAGTGCTTCTACACTTGTAAAGTGTGTCAATACTGTGCTAGTCCTGCAGCCACCACTTCAGTGTTACTACTACTGCTGTATTAGAGTACTACCACGACTTCAGTATACTGTGCCTAATGCAGTACCACTACGGCACTACGGTACTAGGCTACGGCTACCGTGCTTGAGCATTCCATTATTAGGTACCCGTTATTACTATTGCTAGTATTCGAGCACTACGAGTACAGTATTCGAGTTCCACTCTTGCAGTACTACAGCTAGAGTTCTGTACAACGACTATTACTGTGTCATCACTACAATACTACAGCACCAGAGTACTACACCAGTGCTGCGACGCTACGGCATTGGAATGTTCCTAGTACAGTACTGCAGTACACCCAATGCAGACACCAGTCGAGTACTATTCTCACGAAGGCTGTACTGGCGCACTGCCTGCACAGTGCCACTATTAGAATCGCGCAGTACTATTCCACAATAGTGCAGCACCAGTGGTGCAGCACTACCACCAAAGCACTACAGTTCGAGGATACGACTACTGTACTCGAGCACAACGGTAGTGCACTACTTCTACTGCGGCACAACAGTGTGACGATTAGAACAAGTACTAGACTATGATATGTATTGCAAGGCCTGATTATTACTAGTGCAGCTACGGGATTACCACAGTGCTGCCACTTCATGAATGCAATTCTACCACGGCGGTTCTAGAATGCTGCAGTAGTAGGGCACGATAATCACTATTATACTACAGTGCTACTACTACGGCAGTCAGTACTAAAGCACTGCGACTACACTGCAATAGCATTACTACCACATACTGCTGCATTTCTGTTAGTACAGGATTGTAGCACTAGAGTGCCATTACTTTAGTATCCTCCTGCACTCGAGGGGCATGGAAGGGGAGGAGGAGGAGGACGGATGCGGGCCCTCCCCCGCTTCCCCCCGCCTCTCCTCCCTGTTCCCTCTTGGGTCCTGGGGCAAAGGAGGAGGAGGGAGGATGGCAAAGCAATGAAATCCTGCACAATGCGACGCAGTGCAATGCAACGCGATGCGATGCGATTGCAATGCCATGCCAATGCAATGCCATTGCACTGAAATGCAATGCGATTGCAATGCGATGCAATTGCGCTACAACGCCAAGGCAATGCAACGCAAAGCGATTGCAATGCAATGCGAACGCAACGCAATGCCAAGGCAATGCGATTGCAATGCGGAGGGCGGGGGGAAGGTGGTGGATAGGGCCTTCCCCCCCCCCCTCCTCAGTGCTGGGCTGGTGCTGTTGGGCGGGCGGGGAATAGTAAGAAACAAAAAGCACTTGCTTTTCGTAGCTGCCCCCCCCCCCCCACAAAAAAAACAAAAAAATCAGCACCAACAGTAAAGGGGGGAGGGTGCGACCCCTTCTTTTGTGATCACGAACCTGGTTTTGCGAGGTCCGCACAATCGCAAGTATGAGCGACGGCACGGCGACACCCTTCTCTCGACGTTGCACACCGAAGCCACAGGCCCACCCCTGGCCATACCCCGCAAAGTACAAGAAAACGGAGCCGATGCGGACCAGAGGTCGACCCACCCCCCGCGGACAAAAAAAGGTAAGAGGAAGACAAACCATAAAACAAAAACCTTTACAACGCGAGCGGGCGATTCGAATGTGGAATCCTGCGCACGATGATTTGAAATAAGGGAAAGCATTTGGCCAAGCAGCTGTTGAATGGTAGGGCATGCTGCCACTGCCCGCTCTCCCCAGGCGTCTCGATACCAGCAGTGGTGCAGCAGCACAACAAAACAACTGTATCGAGGTGTATGCCAATCGCTGGCACTTCGGTCACCGAAGAGGACGAGAGTCACACCAACAAATACCAATGTACAGCAGCCTAGGCCAAAATGGTGCGCAACAGAAAAAACAACGTTGAAGCAAAAGCCTCTCAACAGCTGGCGGTGAGCCAAAAGGGCAAACCCCTAGGTCTCCGACCGCCAGGGAGGGCGAAACACCTACTGCCAGATTCCAGTTGTGCTCTCACCAAGAGCCGACCCGATTGACAGTGTACGGGCATTGGAGACGAGTTGCCACTCAAGCGCCACGTTAGGCATCGAGGTGAGACTCAGGACCATGAGATAAGCCAGAATGCTTGCGGGACCCGGGGCCGCATCTGCTTGAGACAAGGAAGAGACGAGGGAGACCTCAAGGAGGAGGAGGAGGAGGAAGAGGAGGAGGAGGAGGGGAAGGAGTTTGCGATGCTGATTCGGAGGAGGAGGGGAGGCTCACTGCAGCTGAGCCCAGCAATGAGCCACTGAGACACGGTGGTTTTGCGGTCACGGGAAGGCGGATTTCCTTCAGCTTGGGCCTTCGGAGGCACGGTATGCGGGCCACCCAAGGGCCGTCAGAAGCCGGCCCGCGGGATGATGTGCTGAGCTTTAGGGGCCCACGTCACGAACTGCGCAGTGCCTGGGCCGCCGCCTCGCGCGACTCCTGCCCGAAGCCTGGGCCGCCACACCGGCGTGAAGGACTACCGCTTCTGAGCGCTCCGCCCGCCCGCAGTCCCCTCGACGTCCTCGCCGCCCCCCCAGCCCCCGATCTCCAGGGTATGACAGTGGAAACTCCTGCGAAGAAACACCTTGCTTGCCTCCAGGGTGCCCTGGGCTTCTTGGGTTTCGATGGTTTCGCTGTGGAAAGCGTGACGCTCCCACACCGAAGGTTCATGGGAGCCTTGGCGTCTCAGGGCTGGGTGTTTTGTGGAACGTTTCTTGCGGTCGAGTTCCTATTGGACGCCCATCATGCGCGACTGTGTGGCCTCCACAAGTCGGTGGTCGTGTTGGCGCAAGCTCTCCAACGGAGAGAAAGGGAATCTCGGGGATTATGGCAGGGCGGGCGTGGACGGCAGCGCGGGTCCGCGAGAATTTTCGCGATCTCGTGATCAGTGGGCGCCCGCCCTATACCCCGCGAGCGTGTTCCGCCGCCCGATGCACCCCGATGATTTTAAAGGATGACGCCCGCTGGCGGCCCGAAACAGGCCAACCTGAGCGACCTGCGTCCTGATCACAGAAAGAGCGCGTTCTGTGGTCGCTTGGAGGGGGGGGGGGGTTTGGAACCGGACCCCCCCCCCCCCTCCTTTGCTTCCTCTCTCCTCGGGCCGGCGCTTGCGTCGCGGCGGCTGGCGACGGCGGCGGGGACGACGATTTCCATTTCTGGGCCGGCGCCGGCGGGCGCCTGGCGGCGGGCGGCGGTGGCGGGGAGCGTCGACGAGGACGACGGTGGTGGTGGTGGTGGTGGTGGTGGTGGTGGTGGTGGTGGGTTGTGGTGGTGGTGGTGGCGGTGGTGGTGGTTGTGGTGGTGGTGGTGTGGTGGTTTTGTGGTGTGGTTGTGGCGGTGGGTGGTGTGGTTTGGTGGTGGTGTGGTGGTTTGTTTTGGTGGTAGTGGTTGTGGTGGTTGGTGGTGGTGGTGGTGGTGGTGATTTGGTGGGTTGTGGTGGTGGTGTGGTGGTGGTTTGTGGTGGTGGTGGTGGTTTGTGGTGGTGGTGGTGTTGGGTTGTGGTTGTGGTGGTGGTTTGTGGAGGAGGTGTTGGTGGTGGTGGTGGCGGTGGTTGTGGTGGTGATGTGGTGGTCTGTGGTGGTGATGGTGGGTTGTGCTGCTGGTAGTGGTGGTGGTTGTGGCGGTGGTGGTGGTGTGGTACATGTTGGTGGTGGTGTTTTTTTTTGGTGGTGGTGGTGGTGATGGTGAGTTGTGGTGGTGGTGGTTGTGGTTGTGTGGTGGTGTGGCGGTGGTGGTGGTGGTGGGTTGTGGTTGTGGCGGTGGTGGTGGTGGTGGTGGGTTTTGGTTGTGGCGGTGGTTTGTGGACGTTTTGTTGTTGTGGTGGTGGTGGTGGCGGTGGTGGTGGTTGTGGTGGTTTGTGGTGGTGTGGTTGTGCTGCTGTTAGGTTGTGGCGGTGGTGGTGGTGTGGTCGATTGTGGTGGTGTGGTGGTGGGGTGTGGTGGTGGTGGTGATGATGGTTGTGTGGTGGTGGTTGTGGTGGTGGTGTGGGTGGTGCTGTTGGTGGTGGTGGTGGTAGTGGGGATGGTGGTGGTTGTGGTGGTAATCGTCGATGCGTCCCCGCCGCCGCCAGCGCCGGCGCTGCTGGCTGCCGCCAGCGCCGGCGCCGGCGCGAGGGGGGGGGAGGGGGGTTGAACCCCCCCTCCCCTGAGGTGCCTCTGGTCATCGTCGTTGCGTCCCCGCCGTCGGCGCTGCTGGCGGCTGCCAGCGCTGGCGCCGGCGCCAGCGCCGAAGGGGGGTGGTGTTTGAACCCCCCCCCGTGGGGGTGGGGGGGGAGGGGAGTCCCCTTGGTTTTGATCGACGGCGCCGGGTGTTGGGGGGGGGGGCACCCCCCGATTTGAAACGCGCCGCCGGATGTTCCCAAGGCAAGCGTCCGTGAAACGCGTTCTCTCTGATCACAATTAATGCCGCCCCTCGTGGCTTCTGGGCGCCGCGCTGTCTCGTGGTGCCCGCGCTGGCGAGCTGGGTGGCCGCTCCGCGACTGCCCAGACCAAGCGGTGGAGGAGTGGGGTTCATGGGTGGCGAGGCAAGGGATCAGGAGAGGGGAGAGGAGAAACGAGAGAAGAGGAGGAGGCGGAGGAGGAGGAGATCCAGGGAGGAAAATGAGGATGAGGTAGCGTGGGATGGCGACTATAGCGACGACGAGGAGAACGAGCACGGTGACGAGGACCACGAGCAACATAAAGACGTCGGGGGGCGGGAGGTGGAGGACGAGCAGGACGACAACCACGACGACGACGCCGCCGTGAGGACGGTTCGGGCAAGGGCTGCGCATTCGTCAAGATGAGCAGCCCCGCCGAAGGCGTGGCCACACTAGCAGCCGTTCGGCCATCCCCCTCTGCGCGTGCGGGCGTGCCCCCATCGCCTCGGCGCCCCAAGCCCACGGGCGACCCGAAGCAAAACACGACGGACGTGTTTCCTCGATTTCCGTCTCGAGCGGGGCGCATTCGGGCCAAGCACGACCCGCGACGAAAACTTGTCCGTGAGGGTGGCGTCGAAAACTCCAGGGGGGCCCATGCCAAGGAAAAATATGATTTTGGAGGCATCGGTCCTCCCATTCCTCCTGGTCTTCTCCGTGTGTAAGGGCCGTTTCGTCACTTGACTGCACGCGGCCCGGACAAATTGCAAGGATGGCACCGGCGACGGGTCGGGGAACCGGTCTGGAGCGGATTATGGTAGGAGGAGCAGGAGGAAGGAGGGAGGGAGGGAGGGAGGAGGTAGGAGGAAGGAGAAGGTGTGAGGAGGAAGGAAGGGATAAGGAGGAAGAAGGGTAGAAGGAGGAAGGAAGAAGGAGGAGGGCGGGACGGAGGAGGGAGGAGGGAAGAGGAGAGGCCGGAGGGGGGAGCAGGGGAAGAAGGATGATGACGATGAGGACGACGAGGAAGAGAAGGAGGAGGAGGAGGAGGAGGAGGAGGAGGACTCCATTCTCCCTCTCCTCTCTCTCGTCATTCACCCTCGTCCGTCCCCTCCTTCTCCCCAATGCTCCCATCATGTTCCTGCCCTCCCTTCCTCTGCGCCGCTCTCCCCTTCTTCGAGGCTTTGAAGACGACTTCAGGCGGACTGTTTGGCAAGACGCCTCTGACGTCCTCGGGTATTCCACACCGTCAGCCGTCGAGTGGAATCCGCCCTCTTGCACCACCACCTCCTCCTCATCCTCTTCCTCCACCCCTCCTCTTCCTCCTTATCATCACCATCATCATCATCACCACCACTATCACCTTGTATATATAGTCGGTCCCCCTCCTTGTCTCAGAGACGCGCCAGCGAAATCCGGCTACACTTTTGCGATGACTGCTTGTGGCCATGGCACGGGTTCAGAAGATAAACAGAGGACGACGACGAGGGGGGAAATCTGACCGCGAGCCGAGGAGGATTGATACGGAACGAACAGGAGGGAGGAGGAGGAGGAGGAGGAGGAGGAGGAGGAGGAGGAGGAACGAGGAGTGAGGAGTTCGGAAAGTAGAATGAGGCAGGGATGGATGCAGGGAGGCAATCGTAGTGATGACGAGGACGAGAATGAGTGGCGCCGAGCAGGCTGATGCTGAAGAGGCATAAGGAGGGAGAGCGAGGAGTGAAGAGGAGCAGCAAGGGAGAATCAGCGCATAGAATCGAGCATGAGGCATCAGGATGAGCAGCGACAAGGGCAAGCACCAGGATCAATCATAGTTGCTAGGAGGAGCGAGAAGGAACGAGGTCACCGATCGGATTGCCACAGTGTGCGATTAGACAAAATTAGGCCAAAGCTTGAGAACCGCATTTGCAAGTATTAGGAGCCATTGGCTTATGCAAAGCACGCGCAACTCAATGCAAGCCCATGGTGTTTTGAACGGTAACGGGCAAGCATGTTCAAATTGCCAGAAGAAACGGGGCACGTCCGAAGCAGTGCATGCAATACGCCGGAATATCGAGATGTCGTACGCAGATCGCGAAGGACGAATCTCTTTTCTCGCGCCGTGCTGGAAAACATTTGATCTTGTGAACGCGGACGCTCTGCTGGAGGAACTGCACAAGTTAGGGGTGCCCAACAAGGCGTTTAGCATGATCCGGGGGATTTGCAGAGACGGGGCTGCTTCTGTCACAGATGGCCCGCGGAGATTACGAAAGCGGAGCCATGGATCTGGCGTTTCCAAAGGTTGTCCACCATCTCGGTTTTCGTTCATCATGGCCGTGGTCGTGATATTGGCATCCATCTGCGCGCGGACGACGCGCTGTTGGTAGGGCGCCACGAAAGATCGATGCAGAAGGCTTCGCAGCAGGCAAAGAAGTTGGAATGCAACTCCACTGAACACACAACACATTCCAATGTTTGCAATCGAGGTGCGATGCTGCAGTGCGAGATCCCAGTGGGAATGTCATCGACCCTGCCCGACACATTCAACATCCGGGAGCACAGATTTACAGTCCTAGGAGGCTCAAGCAAGAACTCAGCCGCTGGCTTCTGGCTTGGGGCAGCTTGGGGTGAGTTCTAGAGATATGCGAGGGCATGGAAACACATCTCGATCCGCATTCCAGGGAGGCACTCAGCATGGCCGAACGCATGTATTCATTCAATTCCGCGTGGCTGAACAAATCAGAAAGGCGACCTTTGATGGATTGCAAACGCAGTGCCTCTTACATTGCAAGGATACCGAACAGCATTATCGTTTCAGCTTTTGCCCGGGCCTGCGAGTCAGTCACTTCTTCCTGCAACAGTGGGCACGCATGTTGCTGGTGGATGTGAGCTCCGCTCCCCCGCCCCCCGCTGGCTAACACATAGGTGTGCACATGCGAGAATGTATTTCAGAATGTCCTGAAGCCCTGGGCTGCAATGCTGCCTCGTCTGAGTAGCTGGAGAAGGAGGGGAGCACGAATGCGAGGACAAGGTGAGGGTGTAAGAGCAGGCGGTGAGAGGTGAGGTTTGAGATGGGACGTGAGGGGACAGAAGTAAGAGGATAGAAGTGATGGGAGAGGGGTGACAAAGCAGAGGCGATGACTGGAAGAGGGTGAGGATACAGAGGAGGATAATCACTGGGGACATGGAAGGGAATAAAGAAAGGGGAGGAAAGCCAGGAGGTGGAGGAGGAGAACATGGGCGAATATGGAAAGCAGGAAGACGACGAATATTCACGAAGACCACGACAAGGAGGAGGAGGAGGAGGAGCTGCAACAGCAGCTGGAGAGCAAGCAAGGCTGCAGAGCAGGAGGTGGAGGAGGGGGAGGAGGGGGAGGGGCTCGTCCTCCACCCCGCGGCTATGAGGCGAGGGCTGCGTGAAGAAGCTCCACTTCACGAAGCCCTGGGGCCGGGCGCTCATAGTCGAGCGCCTGACCGCGCCACCCGACGGCACGGAGCCGCAGGACGACAAGCCGAAGGAGGCCGCCTGCGCCCAGCCGGTCAGCGTGGAGGTCGGTTGGATCGGGCTGGGCCCGGACCCGAACTTCTGGCGAATCGGTCTCCCACAGGGAAAGGGGAAGAGAGAGTGTCTGGGGCCAGCCCTTCTACCCTTTCCCACCCCGGCCAGCTTCCCCTCCGTTGTTCCAGCCCTGGCGACCTCATCCCACCTGCTTCGGGCTCGTGTCAGCCCCCGCCAGTTCTTCCGGCTCTGGCCACTTCCATTTCCATCGGATTTCTCCCAATTCTCACGTGCCCCAGCTTTACAGTCGGGGCCCTGAAGAAGGAATCCTTTTCGTTGGTGAGGGGCTCCGCGTTCCTTAAGTGTTTCACAGCTTGCCTCAGGCTTTCCTTATGTTTTCGACAGGAAATCGAAGGTTCACTTATGGTAAAAGGGGGCCTCGTTCCTTATTTAGGGTTCCTTAGGTCAACGCCCCGACTGTACTGCAAGTTCTCTCGGGCCTCTGGGGACCATCTTCGTGGCCCAGGTGCCATGTTCGAGTCCCCGGGGACCACGTTCGGGCCCCAGGGGCTATCAGAAGAGCGTCCAGGACGTTGAGGCGGCCCCCTGGGCTTGGCATCGCTCGGACGTGTGTATTTTCCCCTCGACGAGGACCATCGAGGAACATCCTTGATCACATGGCGAAAAAGCCACGCACGAAACCGACAAAAAACACAGGGAATGGACGTCCGAGCGATGGCCAGTGGGGGGTCGAGACCCCTGGGGCCCATGGGTCCCAAGGTGAACCCGGCGGAGGCCCGAGGGCAGTTGGGCAGTCGGTCGGGCTGGTCGTGCGGACTCTGGCTTCAGGAGCGGGTCTGGTCGAGCGGATCTCAAGCCTGGGCGGGCGGTTGGGTCGGGCGGGCGGGCCCAAAATCGGGCAGCTGGTCGAGTCAGCCGTCGGACCTCGGCTTCGGCGGTCGGTCAGAGCGAGTCTGGACGGACGGGCACTGTATCGGCGGTCGGGCGATTCGGGCTGGAGGGAGGACATGTGGGGGAGAATGGGGATGGCGGCGGGACCGGTAAGGTGGCTGGAGTGAGGTGCATGGGTCGAGGTCCCAAATGCGAGGTCACAGTGTGTTTCGCCCACCCCCACCCGCCCTCTCGGCACTCTTTTTTCTCGCGGCGCCAGCGAGCGCGCGGCGCGGTCGGAGCCAAGGCGGGGCGCGGAGGAGCCGGATCTCGGCGCGCGAGCAGCACCCGAGACCCAGCAGGGGCGGCGGCCATTGCCCCCTGGGCAGCCGGAAGGTAACCACTCCGCGCCAGGTGCTTTCCTGTGCGCTGACGTGCGCCGAGTGCGCCAGGCGCGCGCCTGTTCAGGGCGTGCGCCTCGGAGCGTCAGTCTTGCCCCGCGCGCGTTTTTGGAGAGTCACGCTCGCGCCCACCGCCTGGCCACATCTGGCCATCTCCAGAAGGGGGCCGCGCCCTCGAGGTGCGGAGAGGCTGGCCTGTCCTTCTTCGGCGGGAGGCTGGCAGAAGCAGCGCAGGTGCGGGCCAGCCGGCGGAGGACTGAAGGCCGCGGAAGCAAAAGTTGCCCCCCCGAGGGTTGACGACGCGTCGCTTGTCATCGGAGGCCCTGCAGTCAGCCCGCACAGTAAGGATGGGCAGCCTTCCCAAGGGTGCCCTCGCGTTCTTGCCTCCTCGGTCCAGCTTTCGCCGCTTGCGCTGGCCGCGCCCCGCTCGAAGAGCTTCGAAGTGGGCGTCCAAGGCCCCTGCATCCTTCTCGCGCATCCTTGCTTGACTGGTTGCCTGCAGAGGTTGGCACCAACAGCAATGTCGGCGGTGTGCCTCCACAGAGGCAGCAGTATCCCGATCTCGGCGACGGTGGTAGCATTCTGGCGTCCTGGGCGGCCGAAGGATGACCATCAACACCGAGCTCTAGGATCGTCTTCCCCCCCGGTGGAGGCGGCCCCCCTGTGCTGGTGCTGGCGCCCCTTTTCCAAGCCTCCAGTGCCAAGCCTTCCTGGGCAGCCTGCCCTGCCGAGCAGGAGTGGCACGAGGTGTGCAGCTCGTGCTGGCCTTCTGCACGGCGCAGTGGCACGAGGGCCGCGCACACGCGTCCGGCCCACCGGCCCTCGGAGGGGTGCCCTCGGCTTCGGCGCCGGCTGCGCTTCGGTGCTGTCGCGAGACGCGAGCTGCATGCCTTCGACATAAGGGGAACGAGCACTAACATACACACAGAAACGCGGAGGTCCGCGCGGATTTCTCGGATCGGCGCTGGACCGCCCTGGCGGCGCCTCCGGCGCCGCCCCTGGCGCTCCCCGCGCGCCAGGGAGGGGGGTCCAGCGCTGATCCGAGAAATTTGCGCGGACCTCCGAGTTGTTATGTTTATGTAATTTTTCGTTTCACTGCTACAGTCAACCCGCGTAGTAAGGATGTGCAAGGTTCCCAAGGGTACCCCTGCATCCTTGCCTCCTCGGTCCATCCTTGGCCACTCTCGCTGGCCGCGCCCCGCTCGCAGAGTGTCGGCATGACCTTCCAGGGCCCTTTTCATCCTTACCGCACATCGTTATGATATGGGTTGACTGTATCGTTTGTCTGCTGGCGGTAAGTCGAGGACCTCATCTCACCTGCCACCATCCGCCACACGCACACTGACTGGTTATCGTGCGAGCAAGGAGGAGGCGACCGCAATCGACGGCCACCCGAGTGGGGGAGGTAGTGCTTCCCAGTGATGAGCGGGTAGTGATGGGGGTCAGGGATGTGGATTGGGATGGTGAGGCAAGGCTGGGCGAGGGCATGGAAGGAAGAGGAGGGGCAGGAGGAGGAGGACGATGTATGAATCGACGACGACAGCGACACTGGGGATGACGAGCAGGATGAGGTTGAGAGGCAAGGACGAGGGTCAGGAAGAGGGCAAGAAGGCGAAGAAGGCCGCCACGGAGGGAGCAGGAAGATCAGGCGGCGGAGGAAGAGGAGGGGGGAAGAATAACAAGAATAACGATGACACCAGGAGTAGGAGTAGGGGGAGACGAATATGCAGCAGCCGTCCTAAGAACAGGGGGAGGACGAGGAGTACGAGGAAGGGGACGAGGAGGACAGGGAGGAGGAGGAGGAGGAGGAGAAGGAGGAGGAGGAGGAGGAGGAGGAGGAGGAGGAGGAGGAGGAGGAGGAGGAGAGGGGGAGGAGGCCCTCGAGTATGAGAGGGGAAGGAGAAGAAGAGGAGGATTAGCAGCAGGCGGAGTAGGAATCTATCATGAATACTGAAGGGGAGACGTATCAACAGGAGGATGAGGAGTAGGAGGAAAGAAGGAGTAGGATGAGGAGGATAACGGAGGAGAGGGTTAGAATGATATGGGTAGGACGGGGAGGAGGAGGAGCAGCAGCAGCAGCAGAACGGAGGACGAGACGGAGAGCATCAGTGCCGCTGTCACTGCCGATTTTGAACGCTGTGCCCTGGCATGCCGAGGCCGACGACAGCAAGGCGAACGACGCCGAGCCCAAGAAAAAAGAGAAGCCCACGGAGTCGAAGAAGAAGGCTTCGGAGCAGCGCGGACGAAAACAAATGATCAGGAGTCGCATAAGCGAGGAGGCGCAGGAGGAGGGGAAGGGAGAGCAGGAATCAAATTGGCCAGGTCGACCGGAGGAGGCGCAGGAGGAGGGAAGGGAGAGCGAGTCAGCGGCCCCCCGCTTAATTTTACTCTCCCTCCATGACCAATGGATGCATGTGTGCCCAACTTGTCAGTGGAACCAGCGTGCTCGTCCACCAGGAGACCAGAAGATGTCGCGCTCGGTCTCGCTTCCGACGGCTTTGCGAGGGAGGACCATGAGAGCGGAACATCCAGCAAATCTTTGCGCGGCGTTGCGGCGAGAGAGTTTTACATTTATATGTATAACTTTCTCTCTCTCTCTCTCTCTCTCTCCCTCTCTCACGCGGCAGAATCTCCAAGTCCTTCCTAAATTCCTGATGGTCTCTCATGCTCGGCCCCCAAAGGGGAACATGGAAGAGACACTTTTCCAAGCAGCCAGAAGGTGTCAAGTGCCGAGGATATTCCGAGTTTTATGGGAGGGGAGCGGCCACAGTTTGGTTGCCAGGGCATGCCCAGGCTTGTACAGGAGCTCCTGGAGAATGCGCCCGATCACCGCCATATGCTCGCGTCGACCCCAGTCGGGAATGAGCCCGCTACCATATTATGTTGTTTGCAGTGCGGGCATTGTGCTCAGCAGAGACTGCATAAGTTAGCCGTCAGATGGTGGGCCACTCCGAGCCTTTCAGGTCTGACGGTATTCCGAAGGCTTCGCAAAGGTCTTCACCCCCAACGTGATGTGGGAACCACGTGCAGGCAGGAGACCGTGTCTGTGCAAGGAAGAGGTTTGCGCTTTTGTTGTCGCTTCTCGCCCTCCCCAGGTTCCTTCGCGGGCCACCTATCCGGATACGCTCGACGCGTTTCGTGTTCGGGCTGATGAGCGTGAAGCCAGCAGGGCCTCAGTGTGGTGACTGCTTTATGGTTCGGCCTACCGTGGCCAATGACGATCTCCAACGAACTGTGGCGAAGGCAAAGCATGCGCCTCGCTGGCGCAGCACGGCGACACTCACATGACATCCGCGCTGCTTTCTGGGCCTTGACATCTTGCCCGCTCGAGCACGGCCCTGGCGCCGCTTCCCAGTGATTCTGCGAGCCAGAACTGTGCACCGCGCCTGCGCGGGAACGCCAAGTTCACGCCAAATAGTGCATGACTCGTAGGCGAGGGCGACGATTCGCTCGCTCGCGCGCGGCCCTACTCCCACCGATTGGGCACGCGCCGCGTCCAAGCGGGAGTGTACAATATGCGCGGCGCTTCGGCGAAACCTACAACTTCGCCAGCCCGCGCGCGACCCCGTTGTCGACAAAGTGGCGAACGACAACTGTGCGCCGCACCCATGCGAGAGCCCAATTGTCAGGACATATAAGCTCGGCGGCGAGGTGAGAGCGGTATTTCGCCATTTCGCGCGCGATGTGTACCTGGCCCCATTTTGCCACACACACACACACACACATTGCTATTTCGACGACAAAACGTCAATGTTGAGAGGGTAGACGTCGACATTGCGTTGGTTTCTGACGTGCAGGACGGACCCTGGTTTGGCAGGCTATCGGCCCGGAAGGTGGTAGAGCGGGTGTACATATTGATCGAATTGCATTCGGCCCATCCCACCACCGTGCCTGGGTTTTCGGTGTGAAGCCACTTGAATGTTCGTTGGGATCTCGTGGGAGGCTTCTCGGGGGCTTCTTGGAGGCAGTTTAGGTGCCTCTTGGGGGCAGTTTGGGGGCCTCTTGGAGGCCTCTTGGGGGCGCATGAACGCCTCTTGGGGCCTCCTGGGGGCCGCTTGGGGCGGAAGGCTCGGATGTTCGGTTTGTGTTCCCTCTTTCGGGCCCCCTTTTGGGGCCGTCTTGGGCCGTTTTGGGCGCCTCTTGGGCTGTCTTGGGGCCCTCTTGGGCTTCTCGGGGCCGTCTTGGGTAGCTTCTTGGAGGCCTCTTGGGGCGTCTTGGAGGCCTTCTGGGTTGTCTGGGGGCCATCTTCGGCGTCTTGGAGCGATCATTGGGCGCCTCGGAGCGCTCTTTGGCCGTCTTGAGGGCCTATGAGAGCCCTCTTGGCCCGTCTTGGGGCCGTCCTGGGCCTGAAAAAGTATTCCTGCCGCGGCAAGGCCTAGGGGAACCGCGCCAAGGCCCGGAAGATTTGGCAATTCGGGCTCCAGGCCCCTTAGAGACTCCTCAGGAGTGGGGACTGAGGCTCAGGGGATTGGGCTAAGGACCTGAGGACACGCCCACTCCGTGCCCTGAGGCACGGGCAGATAAGGAATCGTGCAGGTGGGGGGACGGGGAGGAACCGGAGGAAACAAATGAGGAGCAGCAGGAGGCGCAGGAGCAGGAGCAGCAGCAGCAGGGGGAGAAGGATCAAGAGGAGTAAAGAGGACCAGCAGGAGGAACAGTCCGTGGACGAAGGGCGAGGAGGCAAGGAGAAACGACAGACGCTTGTCGGCAATGCTACGTCAAATATGTTGCTTGCCTTCATCCGCCTCCTGTTCCTTACCCTATGAAAGAGCGCGCTCGTGTCACACTTCTCATTAAAAGGGGGGCATCACCTTGAAGCTAGCCCCCCCCCCTCCCTTGGAAAGGGGGGGGGGCTTCCGAAGCTACCCCCCCCTTCCTTCTACGGGCATTTCCGAGCTAGGGCGGGCCCCAGCTTAAGGGGGGGGGGCGCTACCGGCCCTCCCTTTTTGTCCAGAGCCCAAGGTCAGCTTGGGCTCCCTTTTTGCAGGGGGGGGCGGGGGGGGTCCGAAGTTACCCCCCCTCCTGTTGTTTGGATGTTGTTGTAGCTGGGGGGTCCCTGGCTTAAGTTGGGGGGGGAGGGCTTGGAAGCTACCCCCCCCTCCCCTCCTTTTCGGGGCCAGGGTAAGCCCAGGTTCCTCTTTCCAACGGGGTGGGCTTCCGAAGCTACCCCCGCATCCCCTCCTTCTGTTGGCTTTTCCAGCTGGAGGGCCCTGGCTGGAGGGGGCTTCGAAAATACTGCTTGGTTTTCGGCGTAGTTGTGCTTTTTGGCGTGTCTTTGGTTTTCGGCGCCTCTTTGGTTTTTCGGCGCCCCATTTGGCCTTAGGCGCCCTTTGGTTCTCGGCGCCCTTTTGGTTTTCTGCGCTCCTTGGGTTTTCGGCGCCCTTTTGGTTTTCGGCGCCCCTTTTGGTTTCCTGCGCACCCTTTGGTTTTCGGCGCCTTGTTGATGTTCGGCGCCGTCTTGGGTTCCAGCGCCCCTTGGGTTTTCGGCGCCCTCTTGGTTTTCGGCGCCAGTTTAGCTTTCGGCCCCCCCTTGGTTTTCGGCGCTTCTTTCGGTTTTCGGCGCCCTTCGGCTTTCGGTGCGCCTTTGGTTTCTGACGCCCCTTGGTTTCGACGCCCTTTGGGTTTTCGGCGCCTTTTTGGTTTTCGGTGCATCATTGGTTTTCGGCGCCCATTTGGTTTTCTGCGCACTCTTGGCTTTCGGTGCCCCTTTGGTGTTTGGCGTTCCTGCGGTTTTCGACGCCCTTTTGGTTGTCGCTGCCATGTTTGTTGTCCGCGATCTATCCGTCTTCGGAGCCTCGCTTGTTTTCTGCGCCCTTTTGATCTTCGACGCCCCTTTTGGTTTTCGGCGCTTTGTTGGTTTTCGGCGCCATCTTGGTTCTCGGCGCATCGTTCCCAACCAACCTGTGTTGTTGGGTCCTCGTTTTGAAGAGACGGTCCCCGCGTTCCTTCCTCCTTCCTCCTTCCTCCTCCTTCCTCCTCCTCCCCTTCCTCCCCCCTCCCCCCCCTCCCACACCCATTCTGGCACACCCCTCACACGCTTCGTGACCCCATAGGGAGCTCCACCGAAGGCCCCAGTGGCTGCGCCCGCATGCGGTTCCACCCCCCATTCTGGCACACCCCTCACACGTTTCGTGGCCCCATAGGGAGCTCCACCGAAGGCCCCAGTGGCTGCGCCCGCATGCGGTTCCACCCCCCATTCTGGCACACCCCTCACACGTTTCGTGGCCCCATAGGGAGCTCCACCGAAGGCCCCAGTGGCTGCGCCCGCATGCGGTTCCACCCCCATTCTGGCACACCCCTCACACGTTTCGTGGCCCCATAGGGAGCTCCACCGAAGGCCCCAGTGGCTGCGCCCGCATGCGGTTCCACCCCCCATTCTGGCACACCCCTCACACGTTTCGTGGCCCCATAGGGAGCTCCACCGAAGGCCCCAGTGGCTGCGCCCGCATGCGGTTCCACCCCCCATTCTGGCACACCCCTCACACGTTTCGTGGCCCCATAGGGAGCTCCACCGAAGGCCCCAGTGGCTGCGCCCGCATGCGGTTCCACCCCCCATTCTGGCACACCCCTCACACGTTTCGTGGCCCCATAGGGAGCTCCACCGAAGGCCCCAGTGGCTGCGCCCGCATGCGGTTCCACCCCCCATTCTGGCACACCCCTCACACGTTTCGTGGCCCCATAGGGAGCTCCACCGAAGGCCCCAGTGGCTGCGCCCGCATGCGGTTCCACCCCCCATTCTGGCACACCCCTCACACGTTTCGTGGCCCCATAGGGAGCTCCACCGAAGGCCCCAGTGGCTGCGCCCGCATGCGGTTCCACCCCCCATTCTGGCACACCCCTCACACGTTTCGTGGCCCCATAGGGAGCTCCACCGAAGGCCCCAGTGGCTGCGCCCGCATGCGTTTCCACCCCCCATTCTGGCACACCCCTCACACGTTTCGTGGCCCCATAGGTAGCTCCACCGAAGGCCCATTGGCTCGCCCGCATGCCGGTTTCCACCCCCCCATTCTGGCACCCCCTACACGTGGCTGGCCCCAGGGAGCTCCACCGAAGGCCCAGTGGCTGCGCCCGCATGCCCACCCCCATTCTGGCACACCCCTCACACGTTTCGTGGCCCCATAGGGAGCTCCACCGAAGGCCCCAGTGGCTGCGCCCGCATGCGGTTCCACCCCCCATTCTGGCACACCCCTCACACTTTTCGTGGCCCATAGGGAGCTCCACCGAA